AACAATTTCTATGTTTGATTTTCATCATTTTCAGTATTTTTATTTTATCTTCACTGATATTGTGTACTTGCTGCCTTTGATTTAGAAGCATTTTCATTCTTCTGGTCTCACTTTTGGTCTTGTTCCTCCAACAAAGGTCATACCCCTTTTTCTCTGATTGTCCTGCCCACTATCTTTTGGGAAAAAACACCACCTCGCAACATACTCCATCAGTCAAAGCTTGCAGTGTAGGTCTAAAATTACATTAGCTGTACGATTTCCATCCCATAAAAACAAGCAGTTTTCAAGGTTCCGTACCACTCTGCCAGAAGTGCCATTATTTTTTACCAGGGTATAATCAATCTTTCTATTCTACACGCCCTGATGCAGCTTCATGGTGTTGACATTCCTCTTCCTGAGCATCACAATAAAAGAACTGGGTCAGGTCTTCTTCAATGACCCAAAGCTTCTCTGTCAAGCTTATCATATGTGGAGAAGTCAACTATCCCCATTTCTAACTTCTTCCACTGATCACAAGATTTTCCTGAAGTGCCAAAACTCTGCTATAGCTCTGCAGACCCTCACGGAATCTTGCAAGACCTTGTCCTGAGTCTCAGATTTTAGCAACCTACTGGACATAGTGATGCTAAAGAACGATGATAGCCCTGTTGCCATATGCATCATTCATTGCCTGGTGCAACAAGTGCCATCAAGTACCAAGTGGACTTGCTTTTGCCTAGGTTGTACATAATTGGTTGGTGACAAACATGGCTGCTTGGCTCAGTGAACTTTTACCCCTTTCTCACAAGGATCGCAAACACCTACTTACTCTAGGGAAAAAGCAATATCCTCCAATCTCCCTCAAAATGACATAATGAATTACCAAGCCTGTTTTTTGCTGCCACTGAGCAGCTCATGTTGGTAAGTTATAAAGATGGGAAATGCTGTAACCCTCATTAAATCATTTCCAACAGTTACATCATCCATATTTTCCTTGCTGCTATCTCCCAGTCTGTCTCCTCCCTTCTTCTTCAGGGGACTTTACCATGACTTTATGACCTACAAGACTATGGCTTCAACACAAACAGCTGCTACTGTTCTGGCCATCTGGGCCAAAGGACTAGACCTCTCCACTCTCAGGGAAAAAAAGTGAGTCTTCTGACTGTTAAAGAATATCAGAAGATGGACATCCATCTTGAGTGTAAGGACACTGAACACCCATATTCATAAATTCAAGTTCAGGGCAGTGATACAAGCTTCACTTCAGCAAGAGGTTTGGATATGTCACTGAACCTCGCAGACTAATAGTTCATCTCAAAGACCTTCCAATTCCTGACAACCAACTTCATTTTATTCTTATATATTTACAGAATTCAATAGACTAACTTATTTCATGTAATGCTTAATTCAAAGTGCAGATTAAAATGCTGATTTGCAGGAACACTTTTAAAATGGGGCCAGAAATTTTAATTTCTCTGCATACTTGAAACTTTAAATTACTGGTGTTTATATTACCTATATATCAGTACTATACTGCATATACAGTACGCTATTATAGTGTAGTAAATCAAACTATAGAGTCTTTCAGGAAATCATCCATATGCAGAAAAGGCACTTCACAACATACCCAAAGTGCTTAATTGTTTTATTTACCTGGGATCCCAAATGTCCTGATTCTATCAAATGGCAGTCATAATCCTATTAACTTGTTTTTACCTGCTTGCATCAGAAAATGTTTGATGAAGTTGTAAGCATAGTCAGATTTTTGGTGTGTTATTGAAAGTACAGTCTGTATATTTTAAAAGGCCACAGTCCAGACAATTTATTTTATACTCCAGGCTACAAGACCCTGTGCCAGAGTATAAGCATTTACAGCTCCCATGGACCATGTTGTTTATGCCAGCAGAGGTTTTGGCCCAGTGTTTCTGACCACAGTTGAGCTTCACCTTCACCAACAAGACTGAAAATGAAGCATTTAATACTAGAGAAGATGCTGACACAGAACTAGAAATCACTGCAACGTGAACAATCCTCCTGTCAGATTAAAAACCTAGGTTTCGTAAGAATAAAAACAAAACTCAGCCCACTGAGTGATGTAGCGTAATTGCCCAAAATATTCAGTCATGCCTGTGAAAGAAGGAAAATATTAATACAAACCACATTTGGGGTAGACGGTGATCATTTAATAAAAATATATGTTACCATGTTTAACTCCACTTCCATTTGCAACATGAATGTCAAATTATTTCCTCTGGGTAGCGTAAGGCAAGCCAAACAGCAGCCCTGACTAAGAATTACTGGACTAACAAGATCAACTAAGTGATCAATAGGGGCTATTAAAACTTTCTTCAGGTCACCCACAAAGACAGTGGCTAACACACCATGTTATCACTGCAGTTACGGTTGGTGGAAAATACAGGACTGGCTTGTGCCCCCTGGCTGGTACCACAGAGAAATGGGACTCAGTCTGTCCATAAGTCTATTTCTTTAAATTTTTGAGGTATTTTTCCATGCATCTAGAGTTTGCAAAATGTTCTGAAGAGGAGATAAGGTATATAGGCAAGCATGTTATCATCACTTTCGAACCCTACAAAGTGTCTTTGGGAAAGCAAATCATAGAAGAGATACAGCAATATTAATGGTATTTTGTACCAACACAGAAAAATTAAGTACAATTGCAAACAAATTGTTTTGTTCTGTGCTACTTCAGCTATGTGGAAATAGTTTTACATTGAGTCTAAAAATAACCTGTGAAATACAAGGGCTCTTGCTGATTTGAAAAGTTACAATACATGTCATATGTGAGGCCTGAGACAGGACTGTTTTGAAGGGGGGGGTGGTGTGGGGTGGTGGTGGTGGTGTTGTTCTCCAAGTTCTGGCAATAAACCAGGAAAAGCTTCAGGCTATCAGATTTCGGAATGAGAATGTCACAAGAGGCTTTCTGTTGGCTGGGGGGGAGGGGGGAGAGTTGAGCGTCTACTCCTGGAATGTCTATTTAGCAGCAGAACTCTAATGAACTTACAGGACACAGAAGATACGCTAAAACAAGAGGAAAATAACATTTTTACGGTCCCTCTAGTTGAAGGCTGCTTCCATTTAACCTTTTGCTGCCAAAGTGATTTTTTCTGAGGGTACTGAAGCAGGAATATCTGTACAGACTGAAAATCTATCAATTATTCATGATTCTGAAACTGTAATCCTACATCAGCATAAACACAAACACACCAACCATAATCTGAAGAGAAAGTAAAAGTGACACATTGTAATTCTGAAGTACTATTTTTCATAATGACAAATATGTTAAACTTATTCCCCAGACACCAGTTGTCCTGATACATTAAGAAGGGTTTGAATATCAAAACCCCTGTAAGAGAAGATGGAAAGTAGAGACTAATGGGAGAAACAGCAACAGTACAAGCATCTAAGGTCGCTAGAAAGAGCATCAGCTGTGAGTAGGGACATGAAGTAACAAATTTATTCTGCAGGTTAGATAAATACTTATCAGAAACTATTTAAGTATAGCTGATTTTGTCCTGGGGAAAGCAAAGAAACTAAATGACCTCTGAAGTGCCCATCAAGTTTTACTGTTGTGTATACAACATTCTCATAGTTAGTAACAATATTTTTGTTGGGGATATTAAGCCATCTCAGAAAGTAAACCAAACATAATCAGAGACTGGTACTAAACACCTGACAAACAGGTTACCTTCCACTATCTTTTCCTAATCTTAGCAGCTGATGCCAGCCAGTGTTTGAAACAAGATATTGGACTAGATGCCCTATTTGTCCAGCCAATCTGACTATTACCCTAAAGATGTAACTAAAAATATAATATAGCTCATATCCCACTCAAGCCTAAAGATAATCTAAGAAGTAAATGTGCAGAAGCATAAAGCGTATGGCAGGAAACAACTTGGGCATGCATCAGTAGTGTCTGGTACTTTCCTGACTAGGAACAGTCTACCTGGACCCTCTTAGCACAGTTTAAGTTTGTGGATGTGGCACTGAAATGTGCTCTCACTCATGAACTGGAAAAAATTAACCTGGAATGAAGATGTCATCTCAGAGCGCATGACTGTCTCACTTACAGAAGTAATTTTTCAGGGTTACTGAATGAAGAAACGTGCAACAATAACCATCAAAGGAACCCAGAGGCTCCCCTGGGTCCTGATCACATGAACGATCTATATTAAGGTCCAATATTAATGTCCCAGTAAGCCAGCCTTCCGCAAACGTCTTTCATAGGGACTACTCTTAATAACAGCGTTTTATCAACTCTGCTGCTGTTGATAAGATTCCCCAACTGCCCGTGCTCCCAGGGCAGCCTTGCGAAACGCTGGGAAGGCTGCTCGCTCCTCAGGCCTGCCCGGGAAGACACTCCCACCGCGCCAGCAGGGCAGGCCTGGCCGGCTAAAGGGCCGGGAGAACCTTCCAGGGGCCTCGCCGGCGGCGGCCTGGGCACGGGACGGGTCGCCTCAGCCCGGGACCCGGTCAGAGCCGCGGGGAGGGGCGGCGGAGCGCGCTGCCGCCGCGGGGCTCCCCAGCCCCCCGTGTGTTCTTACACACCCCGGGGCGCACCTCGAGGGGAAAACGCTGCGGGGAAGCCTTTCACCGCGGGGAGAGGGGGCCCAGCCGCCGCCGAGGGGGGCGAGGAGCGCCGGGCAGATGGCGGCGGTTGGAAGGGGGGAGAGTGAAGGGGGGTGGGGCACCCGCCTCCCTTCACAGCCCGCCTCTCCCCCCCCCCCCCGCCCGCCTCGCGCGCCCCTCGCGCGCCCCTCGCGCCCGGTATCCTGGCACCGGCCGGCGCGTTACGGGAAGCTCCTCCCCGCCACCCCCTCCCTCCCCACCAGCCGCCCACCTTTCGGCGACGTCACTCCGCCCGCGCGCCAATGGCGGTGCGAGTCGGGGCGCGGGGCGGGGCGAGGGGGGGAGGGGAGAGCGTGACCGGGCGCGGGGCCGCGCGGGCGGGACGGCGGCGCGATGGCGCGGCGCGGCGGGGCCGTTATTTAGGGGGCGGCGGCGGGGCCTGGGGCGCCGGGAGGCGGCGGCAAGAGGTAAGGGCCGGGCTCGCGGCCGCAGGCGGGTTCCCCTTTCCCTTGGCGCCCGTCAGCCTCCTCGCCGCCTCTCCCTGAGGGGCGTCCGCCGGCGGGGGCCGCGTCGGCCCGTTCCTCCCCTCCGGGCCGCGGCTGGGTTCGGCAGACCGGGCCGTGCGCCGCGGGCGGGTGTTGAGCCAGAGTTGCCTGGGAGACAGGGCGGGAGGGCGGCAGCCCTGCGCCACTCGCTTCCCGAGCCGATCCCGCGCCCTCCCCTCGGCGGCGGGGCCGCCCGCCTGCAGTCTTCCCCGCCCGCCGCCGTGAGCAGTCGAGGCGAGGCCCGGCCCGGCCTGGCGGGCCCCGAGGGGGCGTGGGTGCGGCCGCCCGCTCTCCCCTCGGCGGGCGCTGACGGAGCGAGCCCGGCGGTGGCCCTTAAAACGCAGTACGGCCTCGCCCGCTGCCGGGCCGTCTGGGGCCTCCTCGGTGCGGGGGCCGGAGCGGCTGTCAAGTCCCTTCTCGTAACGCAGCCGCTTACGGTGCCCATCCGCAGCCCTTCTCCTGTCTTGATGCGGTTTTACTGACCTGCTGGCGTGGCGCGGCGGCTAAGGCTGAAGATGATCCAGGTTTTTCCTCTGGTGCGGCCGTTGGTAATGCCGACAGTCGTAATTAATAAAGGTGCTGCGACCCTCACTGGTCTTGTTTCTTTCGGGCTTTTTCAACTCTTCGGTGAGCTTGACCATGTTATTGGCAGGCGGTTTCTTGTTGAAAAGCATTGCGTTTTGTTGACTTAACAAGTGGTCTGTTCTTGTTGGCTGTAGACCAGAAGGTAGAAAGCTGCTGGCCTTGAAACAAAGGCACGCTTTGTTTTATACCTGGCCCAACTACCAGATGGATTCCCTGAGGAATTAGGGAGAAGTGGGTATAGTGAGCAGACTGGGTCGTCTGTTAACTTCCGATGTGCTCCTGAGCTCCAGTCATCCTTCCAGTGGGTCTCTGACGCTCTTTCTAGAGAAAAACGGTGTAATGATTTTCATCTTACAGATGATGAAACTAAGGCACAAAAGAAAACTGTCTGCCAAGTGTGCTGGCAGTGCAGAGGAGAATAAATCCCAGTATGAGTTTCCATCCTTGTTTTAGGCTAAGTGACTGCCAGCTGATGGCTGCTTGTTACTTATGAGGTATTTCTGAAGGAGAAACCTGGTAACAGAATTAGGTGGATTTATAGTTTTATCATTGGTGATCTGTCCTGTCACTGAGAAGGAAGAGGGGAAAGGGAAGAAAGGGATCCATAACCTAAAGAGATTGCATACTTTGAAGAGTTACAGACTTGGTTTTTTTTAGTCTTTTCCCTTATAGAACATAATTAATATTTAGCTTAAATATTGTTACCTTTTATATATCATTATTCCTCTGAAAGTATCCGTTGAAAGCATGTAACTAATGAACTTAAACTTTTAATTTCTGTGTTGGTGTATCATAATGGGAAAGTAGGAGAGGATGATTAAAATTTGAGATTACTTCTTACAATTTAGTCGTTAAAAATAAATACTTGGTTCTTGTTTACGTGTTTAGGAATATGATCTCTTCAAATAAAGCCTGTATTTTGGAGGGGAGAAGGTACATGTACATCTACAAGACGGTACACAAAATGGAGATATGCTATCTCCTGTGCTGCTTCTCTGGAGGATTAGTACTAGCACAATTGTATGAAAACAAATAAAACTTTTGGATAATTTTTTAGAATGCTTATATTAGCAAGAACTACCAAAATTAGAGGACCAGCATTGGTGGTTATAAGGGTTGAAGGTTTGACTTCAAGATGAGAACATGGAATGCTAAGACATTATTTTGTATCAAATCATTTGGTTTTCAGACTAAAGCTACTTGCTAGCTGCAAAAGAAATCTGAAGCATTTCAGAGAAAGTGATCTGCAGTTTAAAAATGTACCAGAAAGAATAATTTAATTCCTGCAAGTAAATATTTGGTACCTTTAATTAGGTATTTCAGTCATTTTAATCTGTGCCCTGTTGTTTGGGCTTTTTATTCCTGGTGCTATACTGAAATACCAGAGGTAGGGAGAAGCTTCCTTCTAGGGGCAAAGGAATGAGTAATGTGGATAAATGACTTGACCATTTGGTGAAACTTACAGTGATGTCACTTGTGCATAGGTATTCTAAATACTAATTTCAGTATATTCTGTGCATATAATGTTATGTAAGTGATTCTTTTAGAGGTGCTTCGGGTTTTTTTGAGTCTCAGATACTTTCAAGAAGGAAGTAAGCTTGGAGGAAGGAATAAGCTTGCAGATTAAATACTCCTAATTAGAAAGCAGTTAAATCTTGAATAATCAAAGTTCCTTGAGGATAGTTACAACTTTTAGATGGGCTTTAACCTTACTTGTTATGAAACCTCAAGCAGTAGCTGCAATGTGCAGTATCAATTTATGTACTACTTCCTTGCTCTGTCTGCCTGAGCTATGTGGATTCTTAGTGGGAGATTACCACTTGAAGCTGTAAGTTTAGCTCTTAATTTTTTGGAGGAATTTCTGGAAATCCATTTGCTAGCAGCCTTTGAGCTTTTGTGATTGATGGGATGATGAGCCTTAATAGATCTAACACCTTCCTGTGGTGGTCATAGTGTTATGTATACTTCCTGACTTGCAAGCTGGCTTTGCTGGCAAGAACATGTTATTTTGATTATTGTCTCATAAAATTGAAATGGTCATTTGTAGGCAGTTGTAGGTAATCACCTGGACAGTAATTGTTGCCTCTCTGAAATGAAGAGGTGATAACTCAACATAGGACATATACCTGTATTCATTTTGAGGTAGTTGTCATGATTTATGAAATAAGATTAATTTGTAAGACTTGTCTCTCTTGCTCTGAATAAATAATACCTGTTTTTCATGAATGCCTAACATTTCTTCAAAACTGTTATTCACAGGTTAGTCATAAAACTCTATGCTGTTGCTACTTTGTGCATATAAAGCTTGACTTTAAGGTTGTTACTAGCTTTTTATAGGACACTGCCTGAAGCATCAGTTTAAGGTTCAGGCATAAAGTCATAGTGCTTTCCTTTCAAAATGGTAGCAGGATGTGAAGAATAATAGAAGTCCCACATGATTTAGAGATTAAACAGGGTGATCTCATGGCATATGAGTTTTATATGTCTGTCTTTATTGAAGTAATCATGGCATTTTAACAGAGTTTTGTTTCCCTCTTTAAGATGACTTATGTTCTGCAATTTAAGGACTGTCACTAGCAGCAATTCTAAATTAACCATGTTTTTACTGTGTAGCATTTTGATGGACTTTGATCCTTTGCTGCTTTGGCGGACTTAACTTTGAAAGTAACCTGATAAAGTCCTAAAATCAGTTTCTTTGTTTCCCTTTCCTCTTCACTTAGTGGTCCACAACAACAACGTAGTATAAATAAAATGTTGATTTGGCTTTAAAAAAAAAATCCAAACAAACAAACCCCCCGAAAAACTTCTGAACTGACTAGCTGCTTCAGTGTTACTTCAGCATCAGATTGAACCTTCACCTTACACTCCTAATACACTATACCAATCTGTGAAACAGAAGACTTTGGGCTGTGCTGCAAAATCACTGAAACTGGTTGTCCAGACTTGCAACTTAGTCTGACTTCAAGTAGTTAATGGTGAACAATTGGTGTTTAGCAGCATTTCCTTTGAATGATGGCAAAATGTTTTAAAGTGTTCATATAGCTTGCATGAAGCGTTTCTGTGCCTGGGCATCTTTGTATGCTCAGATTAGGAAACACTAGTTTCCATAGAGGTATCTTCCTCACCCTCATCTGAAGTAAGGCTCCTTGTTCTGTAAGTTAAAAGCCCTGCCATATTATTTCTTCTCTTCTTACAGCTTTCATCTAGGCAAGATGGATGGAAGTGCTTAGTATAACTGGTGGTTTCCCCTAGAACTAAATTTCAGTTAAGGATCAGTCTTGTAAAAAGCCAGAGGGACTAATGTTTTAAAAAACACATATTAGTAGGGATTGCAGTACCCCCCTTTATGAGTTCAGAGCTGTGTAGCGTCAGTCTTCTTCAAACTACATTGATTATCAGGGGAAAAAGTAAAATATATCAGAACTGCCTAAAAGCAGATACATGCCGAACTGTAGCATGATTTTGACACTATAGTCACAACTGCTTGTTTCAAGTACTGTAAATGGATGTACTTTCTGTTGCAGGTGATGGAGCATGAGTCTCAATTCACTTGCCTTTTAGGAGCTGAGTGCAACAGAATAAGGACTATAAACTGTGGAGGATTTCTTTGGTGTAGTAGAGATTTGTACTTCAGCTTCCCATGTGTAAATTAATCTGCTCAGGACAACTAAAATGTTGTATTCCAAGTCTGAAGGACACTTGAATATAGAAATGGAATTTATTTTAAAAGATGAAGTAATCTTAGTTTGATTTCTTACTAAAAACATACTTTAGAGCAAAATAGGTGGTAATTTTATGTTATTGTTTACTTCTGAGTTGGTTATTGCTTTTTAAGTGTTAGGGTTTATGTTCCTTCACGTGCTTCACAGTATTTTTCTTAATTAACCTGTGTCATACTTAATATGACTTCATACAATTTCAACACCAGTAATTCTTGAATAGTTTTGTGGAAATAGTGTTGAACCTGAAATAAATATTACCAAAAAGAAAGCCAGTAACTCTGTGATGATGTAATACTTAGCTGACACTGCTGCTAATTCTGATGTGGCACCAATTGTGATACCAAATGGGCAAGAAATGTTATATTGAACATTCTTTAAAAAACTTTCCTTTTTTGCCTTTTTACATCTGTTTCACTCTTTCCTCTTCAGTGTAGAAGCTGCTTCTGCTATTCTGCAGCTCTTTGAAATTATCAGGGAAGTGGAACTGCTGCTTCTTTCCACCTAGCTTGTAGTTGTCCTCTGGATTCTTGGCTTTCAGATCTCATGCAACTCAAATTGTTCAACTTAAATAGATTTAAATGGATCTTGCTTAAAATAACAAATCTTAAGTTCTGTCCTTAATAGAGCACAACAAGATTTAGGTAACAAGCAGATAAATGTTAGTGCAAGTCAAGACACTAAAACAGATTGTGTGTGCTGTTTTTATTCAATGTCTGGAGACCTAATTCAAAAGAGAATACTCTTCTGAGTTTGGTTGTATTTACCATGTGAATTTATTACAATTTGTGAAACCAATTGTGATTTTAAAATACAGAAAGACATGAGTGGGTATAAACCTTATTTTTCAGTTATTAGAAGACTTGACATCCATAATAAGCAAAAATCAGTTGGTTTAGTTTTCTTACTGTTTGTGTGTGATAAATATCTAAAGATGTATTGCAGTGAAAACTGTATAATGGTTTTCATTCCCAGTCCAGTTAGAGTACCTAAGTGTAACAAAAAATGAATGTTTTTGATTCTGAACTCCATGCAACTACAGTTTGATTATAAGTAAGTCTTGTTATTTAGGTAAAAAAAAATAACCTCTACTGACAAATATAAAAGCTTGTTAACATAATTGTCAAGTCTTCTAATCAGCAATATTACTAGGATAAAATTTCTGTATGGGAAATTTTGGTGGGCTTTGAGTAATGAACTCACAAGTGTACATAAAGATACTGCTGTGTGATTCTGATTGCTATTTTAGTCATAACTGAAACACATCTACATTGGTGAGCCCTTCAAAGACTCTGCTGTAAAGGTTTGAGATAGCCTTCTTTTAGTTGTTAGTTTATAATTCTTGTGAATAGAGATTTTTCTCTACACTCTACTATTTACCTTGATTTGTTAAAAAAAGAGGCTTATTTGTACTAATGGCTAAGGAATGAGGTTCTAGGTTGGTATTGATATATCAGTGCTTAAATGTCTAGTTTTATTGATCTATGTGAAATGCCTTGTGTCTTTCTGTCATAAAGTAAACTACATGGAATCAACGCAAAGGAGAATTTTGTGTCGTAAATTGCTGTTTCTTTTCCTTCTGATAATAGTAAATGTAGCTTTTAAATTTTCCTTTTTAGTGGATACTGTGGAATTCATTTAGACTTCTTAAGTTGCCTTTAGGAGGGGTGAAGCTCAGAATATTAATTTCAGAAGAAGTTTTGTCAGGTCAGTGAAAATAAAACTTCAGAACTAGGTTTGCTAGGGGCAATCTCATCTCAAACCTTGGTAAACCTAGGAATTCTATGTTTAGTTTCTAGCTGTAAGAACAGTATGAAGTCTGCTTCCAGAAATCAGACTGTGGACTAAATGCCCTATTTGACTCAGCCAATCTGACTATTTCTAGAAAGATGCATAAATGTAACTAAAAATAATACAGCTCATATGATTAGCAGAGAATGGTCACTTGCTTTTAGTAATTAAGGCTGCTTTATAACTGCAAGTTGAGAAACATGGGAAGAGATTTTGTGGCTTCAAAAGAACTGGAGTGGAAGCTACTCTGAATGCTTCAGTTTCTCTAAACTGTTTTATAGAACTGTCAAAACAGAGAATGAGTGAACTCTGTTGCAAGACAGAAAGAAAGAACATAAGATTAAACTTTCCAACTTCTGAGGAATTACAAACTCCCCTGTAAGGTTTTGAAGAACTAGATATTTTTTCTGTAACAGTCACCAGTTCTTGATGTGGAACTATTGTGCTTTGTGATTCTTAAATGTATTTTAAGCCACTCTTGAGAATGAAACAAATGGTTTTGTGGTGAGTTGTTCTGAACCTTGTCCAAAGCGTTTACATCAGTGCCCTTGAAAGCTAGGTAAATATGGTAACCATAATCAAATTCATAGGGTACTGTTTTAAAACCTAAGCCAGTGTTATGCTCTATTCTAATGGAGCCTCCCACAGAAGAACCAATGAAGTTTATTTCCCTATATGACAGGAAAATCTTAAGCTGATATATTTCTTAAATTTGTAACTAAAGAGGCTTTAAGCTGCATGTGTTGTCTTAAGTGGACATTGGTTTTGTTATAGCAGTGAGTAAAATGTAAACAATATGCTCATTCTTTCTCTAGAGAAAACACTAACTCTTTTGGGAAAGTGAATGTGCATTCCTGAGAAACTGTCATAGAGCAAATAAAAATCTGAATTTGACAGTGATCTAAAGTGAAGAGTAATAGTTCACATTTTAAAAACAAACATCTTTCTCTGTTACAGGAATTCCGTGCAGCATGTTTTCTGGGTGGAACTGGGTGGCCCGTGGCTTGTATCTGCTCTTGAATATTTGTTTTCTTGAAGGTAAGACTTGTATCTCAAACACAAGAGATTTGTAGGACTTTTATAGGCAGTTGCTTGAAGCATGCATTTACTTCTTGTCTAGATACTTGTGGGGTGGGGGCAGAAAGCAAGGTATATTAAGTTAGCAAGACCTAGTCTATGCTCTTAATACTATGGTAAAATAATGCATGTTAAACCAATACTTCTATTCATTGCTCATCTGTGTACAGAGACAGTGAAGAGCAACTTCAGTCAGTGGGAGATTGCTTTGGTTCCACTGACTTCACTGGAACTGTTGATTGTAGCAAACTGAAGTTTAATATCACATTTGCCAAATGGTGTCTAAAAAAAGGCATATCTTGATTAGACTAAACACTATTAAAGCAATAAGCTATCAGTGAAGTAGTGTAGTAGGCTTTATGGTCAAGTTAGAGCCACTGCTACTGTGTAGCAAATGGTCATCCTCAAGGTGTCCAGTATGACTGTTTCAAGGCAGTATTTCAGTCTTCTATTTCATGTTCAAAACTTGACACTTTTCTCTTTATATGCCTCTAGCAATAGTCACAATTTTACTGTTGTGTTGAAGTTCCTTCGTAGAGAGTACTATCAAATGTGCAGAATTCACTTCAATTCCCAAATATGCTAATAGTATACACACTGGAGATTTTGAAGTGGACAACTCAAGTATTTAACTGTTTGCATGCAATTCTTCTCAAACTAGTCCACCACAACAAAGGTGCACGCTTATTCCAATTTTTTGTTAACTTTCTCAACAGAAAATAGATTTTTGACTGCAAGAATAACCTCAAGCATAATACCTTCCTCCTTCAAAACATACTAAATATTCAATCATTGACTCTTCTCTCTCTAAAGACCCCAGTTTATTAATAGAGCTTTTCTTGCTTGGGAAAAGGCTTTTTGCAAAGCCTAGGGAATGCTGCAGTGGTTTTGCCCCTTAAATCTGCTTGGTGGTTCACCAATGCATTTCAGTTTTGTAAATGTCTAGTAACTAATTAGTTTCCTGCTTAGATACATGTAGTATTTTTAACATTACACTAGTATTGTATCAGCAGTATTGATTGTGGAATGCTCTGTAGTTTTTAATAAAGATGTAATTCTTTTTAGTTTCAGGTGGACTTGTACAGTCATGTGGTCACATCATCCCAGAGTCTCCTGTATTGACCCTTGGTTCCAATTTCACAGCATTATGCATTTTGAATGAGAGTTGTCTTGACTTTGGCAATATCTATGCCAATCAAATTATCTGGAAAATTAAAAATAGAGTGGTACCTAAAGAACAGTATCGTGAAATAAACAGAACAGTTTCCAGTGTCACATTTAATGACACTTCTTCATTAGCTAATCCTCTGACATGCAACATTTTAGCAGATGGACAGATTGAGCAGAACATTTATGGAATTACAGTTACAATCGGCTGTAAGTACCTTTTTTTTTTTTGCCTTTTATTCTGGTCTAAAGGAAATTGCTTTTGAGAAACAGAGAATGCAAACAATAGAAAGTGTACCCATATTGAGACACTTATTTCCATTCCCTCAATTCCTGGATAATTGTATAAAAACACTGTCAAATTACATGCCATTGGTAAATATGCACAGAATAAAGCTTTCTAAAAAACAGAAGATACCCTGGAGTATTTCAGTGTTGAAATAAGAAGAAAATAGAACAGAAAAATTTTGAAGCAGGAGGATTTGACTTACAGAAATATGTGAATTTAGTTGAAGTAGATCCTAGGACATAAGCTAACTTTTCCTTGCTTCTGTTTCAGTGTTAAAGGAAGTACAGTATGATCATATGTCCTGCTTTCATAATAATGCTATGAAATTAATGTTTCCTTCATTAATGGACTGAGAAGTATTTAGTCCATCTGTATCACTAAAGCTAACCTGAACTGCCTTAAGGAGGGAAAATACTATTTGAATTACTCTACCTCTAAACATAAGAAAATACTTTTAAGTAATAATAAACTTTTATTTTTCAAGCATGATGACACTTGCATAGTTCTGAGCAAGCGCTCTTTGAGACAAGACTGAGGTCTTGAGAAAGTAACACTAATAACTTAATATACTGCTTCTTAATTAGTTGTTGGACCATTTATAAAATAACTGTTCAAGTGTCCTTAATATTGGAGTATGAATGTCTGATTAATTCTGTTGCCTCCTAGTGTTGGCAAAAGGTATTGCAGTTGTATGGTCTGCAAAAGGCTGGCTTGAGTTCACAATTTAAACTGATGTGGTTTTAAGAATCATGAGTTACAAAATGCTTCCACTGACAAACTGTTTTCTATTTCAACTTCTGAGGAGCAAATTTCTTATGAGAAATTGTGACAGGAAAAACATATGGAAAGGTGAGGATAGATATAATATCCTAAGATGATTGAATGTCAGTACAAATAACATTCTACAGTTGTAATTCATATATGAATCTTGAGATGCATTAGTATTTAAAGCTATTGTATTTTCATTTTGTTAAAAATTGTGCGAACAATGAGGAAGACAGCATGTTTGAGAAGAATACAACTATTCAGGAACAAAACTAAGGTTCATAAGGTAGTTCTGTTGAAAACAGAATTCTGTTTGAAAGGAAACAAGATTCTTCAGGTACATTATACTCTTGTAAAAAGTGATATTCGAAAAGCTAGAAACAAACTCTGTGTTGTGTGGTTTAAATTTGAGAAGGAAAACAATAGTTCAGCTGGACTCTGAAAAAGTTTATTGAACAGTACTAAAGTGCATAGCTCAGGTGTGGGAGAATAGACCTGTCACAAATGCCTTAGAGCTCATGTTAGTGGCAAAGTCAACATATGCCAATTTGGCTGTAGTGCTCATGAGCATTTTTTTCTGTGTGAAAAAATAGATTTAGATGAGAGCTGGTAGATATCAGGGTTTCAGCCTCAAAGATGGATATATCTTCTGTCCTGTTCCTTACTGTGAGATGCTTGTTCCTTATACAGCCTGCTGTTTCTCAGAGCAGCTGGTTAAGCTTCTTGACTTCCATTGCTGGATGGTATCTAGCACTTTTTACACCCTCCTTTAGAAATAAATCTGACTATAAATACTTATGTTCACTGAAATTGCTGTAGTGGGACACTTAGCATGAGTCTTACTGGATTGAAATGTGTATATGGGAGAATTATTTCTAACTCTTTCTGTACAGTGCCCCCAGAGAAGCCCAAGAACTTAAGTTGCATTGTGCATCAGGTGTCAAAACTTTCATACCCTATGACTTGTACCTGGAACCCTGGAAGGCATACATTCCTGGACACTCATTTTAGGTTGAAGTACAGATGGTAAGTAGCCCTATATAGAATATCTGAATAATTTTGAATAGTATTTGTAGGCTAAACCAAAGTCCCCTGAAATTTGTTGACACTTCAGAAGACTTCTTCACTGAAATCAAGTTTTCTGAAGCATTGATATCTATTTTTGGGGAGGGGGGAAAGAGTTAAAGAGCTATCTCATTTTTTCCATTCTTCAGATACATGATTAGTGTGGCTTTAATGCAATACACGTAATCATTAGGTGGCCAGACCCAAACTGTGTACTTCATGTTTTTCTGTGGTGACCTATCCCATTCTAAACAAGTAGAAGATGTCCCTGCTCATTACAGGAGAGTCAGACTAGATGACCTTTAAAGGTACCTTCCAGCCCAAACCATTCTATGATTCTAGGTAGGGAAACCAACAAATTGTGGCTGGATTCAGTAGAGGTATTATCTACTCTGTGTTTCCTAAGAACTTTTTTCAAACTCTTCAAATGGTCTCTTGTAGTTTAAAATGGAGTGCACAGAATTGTTGCTTTGCTCTGGAACAGGAACAACTGCCTACAGCTTTCTACCCCATTCCAATAGTCTTTTGGTAACAAGTGTAGTAGCAGGTATGGATAGATAGAAAACCTTAATGCTTTGTAAATCTCCTGATGCCCTAGAACTGTCTGCTGTTAGTGTAGCAGAAGATGGTGAACAGAAATGATTGTGTTGCAGCTGTACTCGTGAGAGTTACGCAGGTAGTACTGGCTACATCTTTTAATGCATGAATATGCTTTTATTTACTAGCCATATTGCTTTAGATTAAATATATCAATTCTTTGGTTTTTTTTAAGCTGAAGTTTTATAAAACTTTATAATCTCATGGCTTTTTCCTCTGAAAATACGACTTGAATTCAAGAGATTTTATTCTAGTTTCTATTCTAATGCAACAATGCGTTTGTGGCTGAACAAGCCACTCTAATCTCTTCACTTTTTCTTCCTTCTTACAAAGATCATGGCAGAAGGGAAACATACAAGTTAAACTGATTGGTCACTCTGATCTACTTAAAAAGGTTCTCTAAAGAAAACCAAACTTGCTCCTTTATACCTTGTTTTTCCTTCTCTTTTATTTAGGCCACAAGAGAACTTTCCTGACTGTATACCAAAAGATGTAAACAATTCTTGTATGATTACTGATGTTCAGTTCTTTGTTAACCTGGAGGTTTGGGTAGAAGCAGCAAATGTTCTTGGGAAGGCTGAATCTGATCCTCTTGTTCTTGATCCCATTGAGATTGGTAACTATACGCTTCTTAATAAAGCTTTAGTAGTACATAACTGCTGCTTCTGTGCATATTGCTGAATTGCTATGTTAATGTTTATTCACTACAAAAATTAATGCTGTCAAAATATTATTGACTAGAACTGTGCTAGGTAAAGGGAAGGTGAGAGATTTGATCACAATTCGGATAGCAAGTTCTTGTTGAGTAGTCTGCTTTAGAAACTGGTGTGAAGTAGCAGCCATTTGAGCTTGTGAAAGGTGTTAATGGTAGTTACAGCATAGTGTAGCAACTGCTAGAGGCGTGAGAAAATACAGCTGCAGAGTTGACTAACTCCTTCTCTTCTAGTTAAACCTCTGCCTCCACACAACTTATCAGTCAACTCAGGAATACTACCTACTGTTCTGAAGCTTTCCTGGGAGAATCGGATTTCAGCAGCTGTGATGAAGCTGAAATTCAATATTCGCTATAGGATTGTTGGTGACACAAACTGGATTCAGGTAATACCACTAATGTTCCTTGTCAGTTTTGTGCTGTAACCCAGTGATTTGTCAGACTGCAGAAGTTCTCTCACAGCTGCAGTTTAGAGGATTCGCTTCATTATCCTTAGGCCTTATGTGGCCTCTCAAGGTAGTTTGTCTGGCCTGTTCATGAAGGCTGTGATCTAGGGGGTTTTGGCACAATCTAGACTACAGTGACCTAATCTTTTCTTTGTGGACTCTCTGCGGTCCTCCCCATCATGTTGTAATAAGTTTAATTTCAATTTTTGCTTTGTACATATACATCTAGAACACTCATGAACTTTCAACTTCCTATACAGTTGCAAAACTACTTATCTAAATGTTATTTAAAGCTTGGACAAATACTGTTCAGTGCTGGGATGCTTTTTTGAACCTGCACTTGGGTCCCAACAACCCCATGCAACACTACAGGATCAGGGAATAGTGGCTGGAAAGCTGCCTGGCAGAAAAGAACCTGAGGGTGTTGGTCGACAGCTGGCTGAATATGAACCAGCAGTGTGCCTGAGTGGCCAAGAAGGCGAAGGTCATCCTGGCTTGTATCAGAAATAGCGTGGCCAGCAGCACTAGGGGAGTGATCATCCCCCTGTACTCGGCACTGGTGAGGCCGCATCTCGAATACTGTGTTCAGTTTTGGGCCCCTCTCTGCAAGAGGGACATTGGTGCTGGAGCATGTCCGGAGGAGGACAACAGAGCTGGTGAAGGGCCTAGAGCACAAGTCCTATGAGAAGTGGCTGGAGGGAACTGGTGTGGTTTAGCCTGGAGAAAAGGAGGCTGAGGGGAGACCTTATAGTTCTCTACAACTACCTGAAAGGAAGTTGTAGCAAGGTGGGTGTCAGTCTCTTCTCCCAAGTAACAAGTGATAGGATGAGAGGAAACAGCCTCAAGTTGCATCTGGGGAGGTTTAGTTTGGATACTAGGAAAAATTTCTTCCCCAAAAGGGTTGTCAAGCACTGGAATAGACTGCCTAGGGAAGGGGTTGAATTGCCATCCCTGGAGGTATTTAAATGTGTAGATGCAGTGCTTAGAGACATGGTTTGGTTTAGTGGTGGACTTGGCAGTGTAAGTTTATGGTTGGATTCAATTATCTTAGCTGTAGTGCACAATAATATGTTCATGTCATCAAGAGTTGTGGATTTTTTCTTCTACATCAGTCTGTGGACATATTTTCAATAGCTTCTCGGTTTTCTTTAAGCCATCTCTCAGAGCAGTAGTATTCCAGAAACACACTTCTCATCAAGATCTTTCCATCTTTTGTTTCTCTACTGAGGCCCAAAAGTATTCTGAATTCATGACTTGTTGGAAGACTGTTTCTGACTTAACAAAATACAGTGTTTGAAGCAGGTAGCATAACACAGCTGCTTGTGACTAATGCAGTGTATTCCTTTGGAACAACTTTTTGAACTTCAGATGCAGAGATGAATTAAGATCACCTGTACTGATATTTTAAAGAGCAGTATTCTGCAACTCCAAGATCTGTTGATACTTTGTCCCATTAAGTCATTTTAACTTGTCTTGCCCATTTAACATGTGTACAAGATCATTGAAATAGTTACTTGTAAAACAACTGAGCTTGCTTGGCTGTGGTAAAACTTGACTGCTTTGACAATTCTTAGCATTCAGAATTAACTTATTGAGTGTCCTACATGTGTGTTTACTCTGTAGTTATTCCTCTTGCAGGGTTGCTCACTATAAAAATCCCTTAACTGCAAGTGGAATAATGTGTGATGTACCTACACATATCTGTATGTATACACACAGTGTGTGTGTGCCTACATAAAATTATCTACATCACATCTTTTTCTGTACATGTAAGGTAAAGGAAAAAGCTTATGAAAATAAACTCATTTATTAGGAGAAGTATAGACTAGTCTAAAACAAATTATTTCTAATGTCAGTTAAGAAAAACTGTTATGTATTAGTGGAAGCAATGATCCTGGATTCTGTAGCTTTATATTATAGGAGGCTTCTAGCACAGGTATTCTGCAATGAATAATCAAGCAGATAAAGTAGCAAGGTCCTGAAATGTGAAGTGGGATATGACAAATCAATAAGTAGAGAAATTATATGGGAAGGAAGGAGAGGTAGACATGCACCAACTAAAAAAAGAAAACAGAATGAGAGATTGTCCTGAGATAGCTGCTTACATATTCTAGTATATGTATTGTATTGTACCTGTAAATATGCACAACTATGATCCCTTACCAAGCTGTGGTTGAGAACTGAAACTTTTGGAAGTCAAAGGGGGAAAAAACTGTGGGGTTTTTGTTGGGTGTGTATGCAGTGGGACCCCTCTTGGATGGGAGCTGTAGTAGCACAGAGCTCAGCTTTACAATTTTTGATCAGTGCCTCTAAAATCTTTGTCCCATTTGCAGGTTCCTCCTGAAGATACAGCTTCACCAAGAACTTCATTCAGTGTTCAAGGCCTCAGACCCCACACAGAGTATGTCTTTTCAATCCGTTGCATGAAGGAAGATGGAGTGGGCTACTGGAGTGACTGGAGTGAAGAGAAAACTGGGGTCACCACTGAAGATAGTAAGTAATATATGAAAGTAGGTCACTGACTTTCAAAAATGTATGAGTGCTCAGGAATTTGGCAATAGCCAGCTGAAATTGTGTATCCTTGCTTGAGCTGTTTGATTATTCATGCAACAAGGATCTCCTGAGTTGCTTTCAGTAATGACTGACTTGGCCCACCTGTTCCAAGGAACAAGAGAATAGCTTCCCATAAAGCTGTTCTAGAGGTGCTCCCTGAAAACACCTGTGAGAAACAAGCTCATGTATATAAAAAAAAAAAGTTTTATTCGGAGACAACGTCAGTAGAGCAAAGAACATCGCTGGGCGCAATGGCGTGTGCCCTGCCCCAGCAGGGGCTTCTTTTTATAGAGCAACCAGGAGATTTCATTGGTTAAGTGAAAGTGGCGGGTTTTCTCCTCTTTACATCTGTGCAGCTCCTTTTTCTGTGTTTCTCCGAGGCTGTCTCGCTCAGTACTTTTCCACTGCCCCCAGGCAGGGGGGGTGTAGAAGTCCAGGTTCCTCTTCATCAGGAGTTCTTAGCTTCCTTTTCTGCTGGCTTCCATTCTTCCCCAGCCCCTCCCATCCAGATTCACCTTTACATGATACCTAACCACAGACCACCCCCACTATCCTCCTGCTTGCCCAACTCCACACAATGCCCAACCACATGCCTAATTTATGATCAAAAAAGGCTTGCTTAACTTTTATAATTTTAACAACACTAATTTTAATAACATCTTTAGCCTAACTCAATAAAAATAATTGTTTAATTACTTTTAGCAAAAGCAAAATTTTTCTGTTATTTGTCACACAGCTAACATGGGAGGTAGGGAAGAAAAGCTTTCTTCACAGAAAGCTATCTCAAAGTCTTTTAGAAGAGAGGTAGGCTTTATGCTTTTGTTCTGAAGGTTATCCTCTGTAACAGAAACTATTCTGCCTCTGTGAAAGTTTTTTGGTAGACTGACTGCCTTAGTTTATGAGCAGCTTGATGTTTAGAAGGCCATTGGATAAAGGCATAGGTGAACAAGCATCAGTAAGTATAAAAGATTTTAGTCATATAGGGTACATATACTTCTTCCCAAACTTAGTAAAGCAATGATATGAAAGTCTGTGCATATGGGAAATGTAGCCTTTTATGCACCAAAGCATCTAAATAAAACACTCTGGTTTACTCTTAACTTTTCCCAAGGTTTTGCATCTACAACACTTTCTTGCAGCTGTGACTGACAAGCCTCCACACTGTCTTGCAACCACTTGTTCACAATATTCTGTGCACAGTAATCAAGAGTCTTGCTGCTCATCACTGAATGGTTGTCACTGGAAGGCATCAGAAAGAAAATGCCATCTATAAACTGCCAACTTTCTGAAAGATTGAGTCTGTGTGGAAAATGGTTTTATTCTGGCTATATTTAACCACAAAAATCAGTTTCCTTAGTTTCCCTTCTTGATGGCATAATCGTTGGAGTTGCTGTCTTGTTGAACTTCTTACCAACATCAGCCCCTCGAGGGCAGTATTTGGATTATTATTCTTTTAGTCCTTCACACAAGGACTTTGCAAGCAGGCTATATACAACTTCAGAGTGTAAACTTACTATTTAAGATACACAAAAGATAACGAAGCACTAGGGTAAGCTTTAAGTTCACAGCCCTGAGGTAAAAACAAACGAACTTTGAGCCTCATTCAAGTGTCAGCCTTCACTGCTTTGTGGAACAAATCCTCAGTGCTGCAAAGTTGCTGCCATGCACCAAAAGCATTCACACCATGACCAGTTCATCAACTTGGCTGGCCTTTCAACAACTTGTGATGCTACAGTCAGCTGTTACAGCCCTGTCTGTTGCCATTGAGCTTTATGTTCTGCAGGTGTGCTGTATCATGCTGGATTCATTCATGTTCCTTCAGGCCAGGGGCACTGAGACTGTTTCTGTACTTGGTGTCTTCTAAGATTTGTCCACTGCATTTCACAACATGTTTAACTTCATTGATTGCATCCAGTTGCTCCTGAACACGTGCATTGCCTGAAATGTACTGTGGCATTAAATTAGCTGCAACTCACCGCGTTATGAGTTCAATGCAATTTACAGCTCATGGAAGTCATTGCAGTATTTTTCCATTAGAGAGGCTCTCCTGCAGGTTTCTTTTTAAGTACAGAGACAGTTATTCTGCCACTGAATAGGGCCCAAACCATTAGTTGAGTATGTTTAGAGGTTTTTTGTACTGATTTTTTTTGTTTCACTGTTTTGTTTTGCAGCATTTCATGATTTAGCAAGTGTTGCAGCAACTGTAAACTTGTACACAACAATAAATGAGCAGTAATTATTGGAATACTGATACTAGAATCACACCCCTGCGTTTGTTACAATATGAAAAATCCTATTTTCAAATAGTCGATTCTTACCTTTTCCATCAACAGAACAAAAATGCGTGCAGTGTGTATACAAACACAGCTTAGACCTATGCATTTGGCCCTTCAATTTGCTCGACAAATAAAAGCCTTAGTCTTTGACCTATAACTTACCTTTCTGGGGTCTGTTTTCCTTTTGTCATTGATCTGAATAGCCCACTTGGACTAACTGGCACCAATTTAAGATCTTTAAATAGATGCTTGAGAGGTGCTAACTGGCACCTTGAATCTGAACCTCTGCTGATGTTGGAACACCCTACATTAGTGTCTTCTTGCTAAAGCTAAAATGAACTAATTTCAGTGCGTAGTAAGCTGTTGAATACCTGTACTGTGAGAAACAAGCCCATGTATATATTAAAAAAAGGTTTTATTGGGGACAAGGTCAGTGGAGCAAACAATACTGTTATAGGTAGATTAAGGCAAATCACATCCAAATATGGATTAATGAATCTTTATTAAGGTAAGAGAGCAAATGCAGCGCGGGGGTGGCTGAGGAGTCGCAGCTCCGTCCAGGCTCACCAAATTGTTTAAGTTTCAAATCCCCTTTTATCCACACAGCTGCCGGTTTCAACACCTTCAGCACTCCTCCTGGCTCCTTCTACAATCTTATCTTCTTCTTTCTTCAGTCCTGTGGTCACGTACACCTTGTCCTTCCTGTCCAGGGCCAATTTGCAGCTCCTTTTGTCTTTTATGGCTCAGTGGTTTCAGCTCCTCTCTTATCTCAAGGACAAGGGATACCAGAGATAGCCCATTCTGTTCTTTCTCATTCCATTGCAAAGGAGTTAGCACCCTTTGATATGGACCATCTGGTGAGCATCCCAAGAGGGGGGGCTGTTGGGTTGGTGTTTCCTCAGATCAATTCCCCCCTTTTCTTTTCCCAGTAGTAAAGTCTTTTACTTTTCTTAAAATTTGGATCATTGTACTAATAATAGCTTTAGCCTAAGAAGTAATTGTTTAATTACTTTTAGCGAAAGCAAAATTCTTCTATTACTTATCACAATACAATGCTGGGCACAATGGCGTGCCCTCTGGAGCCAAAGGGGCTCCCTTTTATTGTATGAAATGTTACATATTCATCTACTCTAGTACATATGCATCACTACTCCAAGGATAGGGATGGAATATTACAATTAGTTCCAGTAAATCATTAACATATCCCCCACCTCAAATTCCTCCTGGGCACTTGCACAGTGCTTCCTGGTGGTTGTGGGCAGGGGTCTTCAGATGAATGCTGGCAGTCTTCATTGTGTTCAATAGTTGACCCTTACTTCTGCGAAAACTCAGTCCTGTAGTCAGTACACCTTGTCCTTCAAGTCTGGGCTAACTTGCAGCTCCTTTGTCTTTATGGCTCAGTGGTTTTAGTTATTCTCTTATCTCAAGGACAAGAAAAACCAGAGATGGCCCATCCTGTTCTTTCTCATTCCATTGCAAAGGAGTTGCCATCGTTTGATGGAGGCCATCTGGTGAGCATCCCAAGAGGGGGTGGGGGGGAGGGGTGGCTGTCTGGTTAGTGTGAGCATCCCCTGAAAGGGGGGGAACTATTGGTTTAGTGTTTCCTCAGATCAATTCCCCCCTTTTCTTTTCCCAGTAGTAAATTCTTTTACTTTTCTTAAAATTTAGATCGTTGTACTAATAATAGCTTTAGCCTAACTCAATAAAAGTAATTGTTCAATCATTTTTAGCTAAAGCAAAATTCTACTGTTACTTCTCACATGTACCATTAGTTGTGATGCACTGCAAATGTAAATACAGTCTTTTTTTGCTGGTGGAACAGCGTTTTAACAAGTTGTTGTGGTTACCCTACCTAATGATAACAGGATAGTCACATTTCTGCATTGCTTGCTAATCCGTTAGCATTTTTTTGTTATTGTAGCAATAAGTTGACAATAAAATAATTTCCTATTCTGAGTTTGCTTACAAACAACTTCAGAGATGTAGTCACCTCTTTGGTCTTTGTCTCAGTAGCAAGCTACCAAGATATGGGTGTATTTACCACTACTACATTCAGGAAGGTGTACTTCTATACTTCCATATGGTTTTATCAAAGTGTTGTGTTTCCAAGTGTTAAGTACTGTAACTATCAAGTGAAATTTCAACAGAATCCTTAAATGCAAAGGCTCAAATGTACAGTCATGATGCTGAAGAGTAATGCAAATGTTCTGGCAAGTTTGAAATCTTCTGACAATTGTTTTACTACCTAATTTTTATCAGGAAACATCTAGTTTGCACCTCAATAGTGACTGTAGCCAAGGGTCTTTATATTCAGGAAAGCAGATTTGCTACATAGCTGTGTATATTACCATAATATGCACAGTGCTTTCTGGGGATTCTGGAATTAGTAAATCACCATCAAAGGAATTTGATTTTTAAAAGCTTGTTTGGTTTCCTCCTGAATCATCAGTAGCAGCAACATTGAGAATGACTTGCTCAATTTGTGATAATTAAATGATGTCGGAATTTTATGTCTTGTTTTTCCAGGACATTGGTTTTTATCAGTTAAAAAAATATTCTTTTCCAGTTCTAGGGATGTAAGGAGTGAAACTACCTTAGCTTGGATCTGTTTTCATTTCATTTCTACTTTGACAGCTGGCAAGATTGGCTTTGTTTCTGGCTGGCACTCATCCCATATGGAGCCAATGAATAGGCTTTCTGGTTGTGTGCTTGGTACCCAATAGGGAATCTGTTCTTCCCTCCAACTACTACAAATACTTCGTGATATGTTTAGCTTCTAAGTCATACTGATTAGTTTTGTGCGGGGTTTTTTAAAGTGTGATATAGCCTTTCCTGCTTGCAGTCTTAGTGCAAAATTTGAGTGCATGTCTTGAAACAGAATTAAACCAATACAGGTTTCATTGTCAAAACGCCATTTTGCGCTTGGAGCTTAGTTAACTGCACTAGATAAGAAATCCTTCCTTATTTATCCTAATTGAATTTTCAGTAATGAGTTTTGATTGAATTCACATGTCATCTTACATTGGAGAAGTAAAAAGATTGTAGTACGTACCCTACTTTTTTAAAAAAGGAATTAGTGTACATAATGGCATTACTGCAGCTCTACACAAAATTTACTTTCTCTGGGGAAGATACTGTAAAATACTCTTTCAATATTTTAGTCACTTTTCAACTCCTACTGACAGTATGGGCTTTTCAGTTTTTTGAGGTACTATCCCAACCTTAGCAATAAGTATTTCAGGACTACCTGCCTATTTAGTGTGTTGCTTTTCTGCTGTGGTGACCGGCTTTGCAAAAATACTGCTTTAATGATTAAGTACCCATGGCTTATTTTACTCTCAGAACAAAGGTGTTACAGTAGGAAATGAACATGAGGCAGATCATGTTGCATTCGTGGTCTATATATTCAGCAAGATGTATAATTGTTTCTGTTTCATGTGAATCAGATCAGGGTACTCAAATGAGATTAAGGGAGGGCTCCCTTTGCCTCAATTTCCAGTTCTCCTTCCCTTCTGATGTAAAGTATAAGACAAAATGCACACTGTAGACTAGATAATGTTTTTCAGATGTAAACCAGCCAAAACCTCATGATTAATGTAAAAAAATGCAATAGAAGAACTCCCAGAGAAAAACAGTCTAGCAAGATTGTAAATGTAAATGCATTTTAAGGTTAGCTTTCAGTTAGGGCTAAGGCCCTCACAAAGGATTGGCTACTTTTTATTGCTTTATGCACTGTAATAGGTTGATTCGTTTTACTTTGAAATGAAATTTATAGTGGAAACAGCACTTGAATTTTTTACAGTACTGACGTCAGAAAGTATTGTACAAAAATACTGCAGTTCTGTTAGCCTTTTTAGTACAAAGGATATAGATAACTTGGGGAATTCTGGCAGGAGAAATTTGTCTCCTTGTTAACCTTTCTTCACTTTGCTTTTTTAGATAACTTGATATTGAGGGATAGGGAGAGTGTTACAGTTACAGTCAATAGCAGGATTTGCAGTATTTTACAGATGTGCAAGGCTGTGCCTCTGGACGAAGGCTCCAGGATGTGGGTTTGATTGTGCCTCACTCAGCACTGTCATTGTCAGCCCATTGTCGCAGATGCTGAGCATGGTGACTCTCAGTTATTTTGATACTGTACACTTATAGCAGAATTGGGTGTTTTGCTCATCCCTTCGTGGAGTCTTTCCATGTAGGTGTTCCATTAAAATACCAAGCATTATTTTTTTTGAGGAACTAAGGAAACACTTCTTGTATATGCTTTTATTAAAAAAAAGGGGGGTAAGAATCTAACAATAGTTGATGTAGTCAATGGATGAATTCAAACAGATTAAATAAAAGTATTTCTACTGTTAAGCATTGTTTCTTTCATCAGAACCATCTAAAGGACCACCCATATGGAGGATCATTGACGCATCTCACTCACCAGCTTCCTGGACTGTGCATCTGATGTGGAAGGTAAAACAACATGATAGACTGCAGGAGTTGAGCATTCTTTTAAAAACATGATTTTTTAAGTGGCAAAATTCACCTCGACAAACTTGGGTACATAGCTGGGATAGTACAGGTTTTATTGATAGAAGAAATTACTTTAGTAGTAGTATAATAATTGGTTATGAAAAAATAAAAGTACAGATATAGAGGCCATCAATTAAATCAAACACATCTGTGATCTCGAGTATACAGAATCCACTTTCAGATTGCTGGCTTGCTGTCCTTAAGCAGTCTGTAGAATTGTAAACTTTCACTTGGAACAGAGTATGCCTTCATGTTGTACCTTCTTCTGTATGCTGAAACTTTTGTAACGCTGTCTGGACAGGGACACTCCAGCTGCAAAATCCATTAAGCCTAGAGAAGTTCCAGAGGCCAGACTTACTAAATACATCACTGCACATTTCCATGCAGTAGGCTGCTCTGTCTGGTTGGCTGATTAGTCCAAAGCTGAGAAAGTGCATGCAGTTATGGTCAGTCCCCATCTTCTGCTTTCTTTTGGTCTGTGAAGTTTGTCACATTTGATCTAGCTGTCTCTTTATTATTATTCTTGCCCTATTGCTTGTGAGAAGTTACATGTATATTGGTATGATGGCATTTTGTGATGTAACTCATATGCCACATGCCACTTCTGACATGTAGCTTAGAATTGAAAAACAGATGCTATTTTAGAGTTTCAACAGTTTTAAGTTATCTGAAAACTAATACTGTTACACAGAAACATACTATTTTCCTGTGTTATTAGATAACACAGAAACAAGTATTTTTCCATGTATGATAGAAGAAAACTAGTTGGGCTGTTTTGCATTTGGGTTCAACACAGCTTAGGATGTCATGCTCATTTTATGTCACTGTTGTAAAGTCACATACAATGCAGGTTTTATCAGCACATATTCTGCAATCTTTACAGAATAGCTTTTATTAAACTGCTAGGTAGGATTGTGTGCCAAGAAAAAGAGGATTTAAACCAGAAGGAGTTCTGGAAGTTACTGCTGTACAGAAATTAACACAGATTATTTGTGCTTTTCTTAAATATGCAGCTATTTGGTTTACATAACTTGTCTTGCTCTCAGATTTTTAAATTACTTATCAAAGACTAAAGGTTAAGTCATGACTGTTCAGCATCAGTCTAAGCAAAGATGTGTTTCTAACAGGCATTGGAGCCAACTGAGGCTAATGGAGTAATCTCGCAGTATGAAGTGACTGTCAGATCTAAATCATCTCTCTCTAGTCTACCAGAGAAATACAATGTTAGTACCACCAATCTTACATTAAAACTGCCAAATGGAACTTATGAAGTGACTGTGATTGCCCTTAATAGAGTCGGAGCATCCCCTCCATCAGTTTTACTTATTCCAGCAAGTAATTCAAAAGGTGAGTGTCCTTGTAATGTCTATTTCAAATGCATCTGTGTGTCTTTTGTTAAAAATATTCAGTGTTGTAAAAATGATACCTTTTTCCTGGATACATTCAGTAATACTTTAATTATGTATCTGCAGTCATACACCTTATAATTATGCTATCATTTGTGTACTGGGGAATGGGAAAATTTATATACTCATGGGTTCATTTGAAGTTATGTCTGCTAGTTTGCTGTTTTTTTGATCTTAGAGCTACTGTGCAGTTTATTCTTATTGTTTCATTTCTTAGCATAGCAGGCATTTTAGTTTTCTTTTTCAAAAACTGAAAGGGTTGGGGAAGCAAGCATCCTTTACTTCATGTATGTACCGTCTCACCCTTGTGGTACTTTCTGATCTCCTCCGTCCCCCTTTCTTCTCTTGTCCTAGTCTCTCCCACATTCTCAGTATCTTGCCTGATTGCTTTGTTGCTTGCTTCCACTGTTTCCCTACTGTTAACGTTCCTTTTATTGTTCAGTAGTAGTAACTACAGGCTGTGCTTTCTCCTTAACTTCCAGCCTTCTCTTTAGACAATCTGAATACTACCAGGACAGGAAGCAAAAAAATAAGTATATGGACAGAGGCTGCTTTTAATGTAAACACCAAGGGAGAACCACAGGTTCTAAAATTATTAGATGAACTAATTAAGGGTATGTTTCAGACAGAGTAACAGTGCAGCCAGAAGTACTTGGTAAGGTCCATGAGTGTGAGGATTAGAATGGGAAACCTGTCTCAAGGTTTGATTTCTCTCTGAAATAGAACCTTTCTTTTGCAAGCAATGTAATATCTTTTCACTGTACAATAAGGCAACTTGCTATGTTTGAGAACAGAGAAGCTGAGTCTAATTTCCAGTTTTTAAATAACCTAATACTGTTTATTTCAGATCTCTTATACAAAGATTCAGATATAATCTTCAGATTTCAGAAAATTTGCTTGGGTTCTGTCAAATTGTCACCATTACAATAACACAGAAGTATCCATGTTTGACAAAATAGCAATTATTATGAATATCTAGTGGAAAAACTGTCAATAGATATAACTCTTTTTCTATTTTCTTTCATCACAGCTCCTGTGAAGAATGTTAGAACACTACCTAAAGATGGCAAGTTGTGGGTAGGGTGGACTGCTCCTAACAGTTATGTTCTTAAATATGTGATTGAATGGTGTCTGGTGTCCAACAGCTCAGACTGCATTATAGAATGGCAGCATGAACCAGGAAATGTTCAAGGAACGTATTTAAAAGGTATTTAGCTCATAAGTTTATAAATACTGTGTAGAACACTCTAAAGACCTAATAAGTTTTCTCAAAGTGAGGAACATCCTCATGCTGACTAGAATTTTATTGTAGGACAGGAATCTGAGATAATGAGGGCTTCTCTTAGTTTATCATGAGTGTGGAAGTATCTGTATATTTTTGTCAAACATAAAACTATCTAGTTTTGCATTTTGAAATTTATGTAACAGTGAGGGGTTTATCTGCATTTTGCTCTTAGTCTTCTCATCAGAAAGCATTAAAATAGTAAAAGCCTTTTTGAGTTCCTTCAAAATCAAATTCTCTGATTCCTCTTTCAGCTCAAACAATGAAACTTGATCAGCTTTACAGTTCTTTTCACATGATCAGTAGCTTAAATCAATTATTTTGGGGTTCAGTGCTGCAGAGAAAGGCTTTTTATTTAAAATAAATTAGGAAAACATACATCAATTAAGTTTATTACATTTAACATTTGAATGTGAACCATTATCTTGTTCCTTTAGATAATATTTTGGAGCACTATGTCAATAAGCTTTATGAAAATGTCAGCTGCACTAGATAAAAGTGCATCTAATGATAAACAGCTAAAACCTAGAACCCTGTACCTGGAGTAAATGAGAGGGATGGTGAGGAATTTGACTGTCTGTGAAACAACACATTTTAAATTCCTTTTTATTAGGTGATATAAAGCCATTCAAGTGTTACTTGATAACTGTGTACCCTCTATATGCTGATGGTCAGGGAACTGGACAGTCTGTGAAGGCTTATCTCCAGCAGGATCGTAAGTAGTCATCTTGGAGCACATAAACTGACTTTCTTGACTAAACATAATGAGACTTTTGCTTTAATGTGGACTATATAATGAAAAATTGTCCTACATTTGAGGGTCATCTGACATAACTGATCTTGTCCCTTCTATTAACATCAATTCTGCTTATTTACAGTATTTAAGAGTTAAACAGATGTTTGTGGGTGATTCTTCCCCATTTCCCAACCTTTATCAGATAATTTGGCATGAGTTTGTTATTTTATTGGTATAGTAATATTTCTATGCTGATGTATTTTAAGTTTCAAGTATGAAGCCAAGACTGACTAACTTCAATTGAAGATTTCATCTGATCTGATGATTACTAGTTTTCATACTTCTGTTTTTTCTCTTTTAAAGCATTTTTGGAGTTCCTGTGTTGTCTGAAAATAATGCTTTGCAGATGAGTTAGTCCAGTTATTCCACTGAAGATTTTATGCAGTTTCAATTCAGTGCTTGTTAATACGCTGCTTCTGTGAATGTGAGGGTACCCAACAGAAACTAATCTTCATCTCCCGTTACAGGTCCTTCAAAAGGACCAACTGTTCAGACCAAAAAAGTAGGAAAAGCTGAAGCTGTTTTGACATGGAACCATCTCACAGTGGATGAACAAAATGGATTCATCAGAGGTTACACCATATTTTACAAAACTATTGATGGAAATGAAACAGGTAACAGAAAACAGAGAAGTGCCTTGTGGTCTTGAAGTATTTAGTCTGTCTCCTTTCTAATGTTCCTGAAAAACAACTTACAGAATTGAATATAAAAAAGGCTAACAGTCTTTTCTGACGTAAAGCCTGAAGTCTGAGGCATAACTCTCTTTCATACTGAACAGAAAAGTCCCTAATAAAGAATTCAGACTGTTCAGTCTGTGTGTAACAGGGCACTGAGTTTAGTTTCTGCAAGCTGATTTGGAGATATGTACTGCCATCTTTCTTCCCAAATACAGGATGAGATGGTAGTATAGCAAAACCATTCAAGATGTAAAGGAGTTGACTACATTGAACTATGATAAAGTCTTTAAAAGGGGGGGATGGGATTTTTAGTCCTTTTAGAGCTCTAGATCGATATACTACTAATGTAAAACATCCTGTTTGAAGTGCATTTGACCTGCAGGCATATGACAGGGAGCTAGCACTGTCAAAAGTGTGGGGTTTAGATTTTCTTAAATTGGAAGGGCCAATTACTAATGCCTACCCCAGTTATTTCTAGTTAACCATCTTTTTTGTAGCTAGTAACTAGCTATTTCTAGTTAGCCATGTATTCTGCTTATTAGACACCTCTTAAGCCTCAACTTTACTGCTAGTTTATTTTGTAGCCACATTCTGGGGGGAAAAAAAAAAACAGGAAATTAACACATAAAGTGACTAAATTCAAACACTTGAACAGAAACAAATGAATCTTATCACTTCTTGTACAAGTTTGTGGTCTTTCTGTGTCCATGTTCCATACAGCCATGCATTCTACTAAAACTGTTGTACATGACGTCTTAATGCAACTATGTTTGTGGAGATACAATAAATTATACTAGTTTTCTGTACAAAATTTTTCCTCTCTTTAGCTGTGACAGTGGATCCTTCCAAGACAGAGTATACCCTTTCTTCTCTAACCAGTGACACGCTATATACTGTGCGGATGATGGCGTACACAGATGAAGGAGGGAGAAGTGGTCCTGATTTTACATTTACTACCCAAAAATTTGGTAAGGAAGAGTGGCACAATAAGTAGAAGTAGGAAGTAATATTGCAACAGTGTATAGCAAGGCTCTGTGCACGATCTGATTGGAGGGGAAGGTGATTTTATTTAAAAGAAAAAAGTTCCAGTTTGTTGTACTCATAAGGTGTGCGATATCCACATAGGTTATCTAGTACTCAACCACAAAGTAGTAATTTAGTCAGGATTTCTTCTGAATGTACAGAAGACCAGCTATCCTTTGCAGGTCTCCTAGATTTAGCAGGTTTTTTCTTCATAGTGTTGCTCTTTTCTAAGCATTCTGTAAGGTTTACTTAAGAATTAAGTTTCTGACAGGGTTTTAGTAGTAGGGGAGGGGGCTACAGATGGAGCTCATGTGAGAAGCTACTAGAAACTTCTCCAGCTCCAAGTCAAACCTGTGTCTGGCCAAGGCCAAGTCAATCAATGATGGTGGCTGTGCCTCTGATAACATATAAGAGGGGAAAACATGCAGTGGTGAGAGGAGTGAGATGTGAGAGAAGCAACTCTGCAGACACCAAGGGCAGTGAAGGAGGAGGGTGGGAGGTGTGTTGGAGCAGAGGTTCCCCTGCAGTCCATGGTGAAGACCATGGTAAGGCAGGCTGTGCCCTTGCAGCCTGTGGAAGTTAACAGAGCAGGTGCCCCTGGAGGACCCCATACCAGAGCAGGTGAATTCACCCAAAGAAGGCTGTGAGTCTGTGGGAGGCCCACACTGGAACAGTCTGTTTCTGAAAGGACTTCACCTTGTGGAACAGCCCACACTGGAGCAGTTCATGAGGAGCTGCAGCCTGTGGGAAGGACTCAAGTTGGAGCAGTTTGTGGAGCACTGTCTCCTGTGGGAGGGACCCCACACTGGCTCAGGGGAAGAGTGTGAGGAGTCCTCCTGCTGAGGAAGGAGTGACAGAGATGGTGTGTGATGAACTGACTACAACCCCCATCTTCTACCCGCTGTGCAGCTGTGGGGGAGAAGGTAGAGAAATTGGGAGTAAAGCTGAGGCTGGGGAGAGGTTTGGGGAAGGTTTCCTTAAGATTTGTGTTTATTTCTCATTATATTTGATATGTAACAGTTGATGATTTTTCTCCAAGACTGTTTTGTCTGTGACCATAACTGGTAAGTGACCCCCTCCCTGTCCTTGTCTCAATCCACTAGCCTTTTGTTACGTTTTCTCTGCACCATCCCAACAGAGTGGAGGAGTGAGCGAGCAGCTGTGTGGTGCTTAGGCTTTTTAGGCTGGCTGGGCTTAATACATAACAAGAATGCAGCCTTAAGTGTTTGCAAGCAGAGAATATTTTCATGTACAGAATAAACTGATGGATGACTAGTGACTTTGCTTACGTTACTTATTTGACGGTGATACTGTTATGGCAGACAGTAGGCCACTGAAACACCTGGCCCAGAGATTAATTCTCATAGATGTTATTGTCATACCTCCCCAAACTGTAAAATTACTTGCTCCATCAGTATTATGGCTTCTAGAGCAACCTGTGTTTTCTATGGATGCAAGGCATTAGATTGTTGGAACAGAACTTTTCATGTTTTTACCAAGAGGCTCTTTTCATATGGTGAAAAGGCTCTTCTGAAGGTGAAGTTTAAGACTGAGTGCATTTAGTTTCAGATTCTCCTTGTCCCTTTGGGAATGTATGCTGCTGCTGAGTTCCTTAAACACCAAAGTGGGCTACAACTGCTTCCCTTTGTTTTCTTCAGGGAAAGGAGAAATTGAAGCCATAGTTGTACCTGTGTGTCTAGCATTCCTGTTGATTGTGCTCCTTGGAGTTTTGTTCTGCTTCAACAAACGTGACTTGTAAGTATAAGTGAAGTCTTTTCTTATGCTTCTGATATTTCTGGACATAACAGATGTCAATAATTCAGTACAAACAAGTAAATAATCTGAAGTTAGACCAGAAAAAGAAGGTAAGACGCATATATTGATTAGTGGGTTTTTCATTTTCCTTGAGAAATCGGGGCTGCTTCTGATACTAATTTCTTACTGTTAATGATTAGCACACAAACTAAATGTTCTGTGACTCAATCCTGCAAGGACATTGCTACTTTTCTTGCCAGATTTGGTTAGAATTCGATTTGTTAGGTTTTGATTAGGATATACTGTCTGTGGTGTTTTCTTAGTCATCATATGAGAGTGGAATGTTGACCCCTAGTTTGAAACACAGAAGATCTGTTTGCTGGCTGTGTTTGAGCTATTTAATTTTACAGTGTTAGCAAACTTTAAGCTTTCCAGCCAAAAAAATTGGGCAGAAATCTTGTTTATCTGCCTTGCATAACATCAGCCAAACTCTGTGTCTATTTACTATCTGCTGGGAAACATTCTGCCTCCTCTTGCTTCCTCTACCGCAGAGCTCTTGTCTGTGGCTCTTAGCTGTGAGCTTATTGCTGAAGTGTCTTCCCTGGCAAGGAGTGGCACCTATTGCATGTCCTCAGTCAACTATATTTCTTTCTAATTGAAGACAGCATTTTGTGCCCTTTTTCTTCCAACCTCCTTGCTGCTCCTAAAATCAGTTGTTCATGGACATCAGTTGAAAAGCCCATGTTGCAGTGTTCTTCGGAGTTCTACTACAGAGGACCTGTTTGTTGGAGCCTGTTTATAAAACAGCAGGATAGATGCATCAGCTACAGAAACTTCTATTGTTCAGTAACAGTTATTACATTCTTTGACTTCAGAGTTCAGATTTACAAAAGACCAAGCAAGTTTTTTCTTCAGACATTTTCACTTTATTTTTAGCTGTGAAGTTGGCTTAAATTTTGACAGCTGTGATATTCATCAGTATCTTAAACACGCAACAGTGTATTTTTACATTGACATGTATCATAGACTTTACCTAAATAATTGCTTTGTATATTGTAGAGTGCTATAAATTTGAAAATCCCTCACTAAGCGTTACCATTGGTTGGCTACATCCAGTGTTTGGAGGAGTTACAAGTGCAGTGCTGTGTTTTGCTAAGTAGTAGAGCTTCCTACATAGATAGGAATGCTTCCTGCACTTTACATTTGGAAACAAATACTCTTGCAAAATTGCTGTGTAAAGGAGTAGTGTCCTGGATTATACAGTACTTGCTATCAACACAGGAATTTGGGGAGTTCATCTTGTAATTTTATTCTGTTTTACTCCTTTACAGAATTAAAAAGCATATCTGGCCTATTGTTCCTGATCCATCCAAGAGTAACATTGCTCAGTGGTCTCCTCAAGTTCCAGCTAAGGTAATACTCATCTTCATATAAATTTAATTATAAACATATCAAACTAACCAGTGGGAGTCTTCTGTCTTCTAGCACACAGGGATTTCAAGGGGAGGGGGAAGGTGTTAAGTTTCATGACATTGTGATGCAAATTGGTTAGAAGCCTTCATTGCATCAGTAGATTCAGCATCAGAAGCACATGGCCCTTAGCACAAGTTCACAGCATAGAACAGACTTTAACATTGAGAATTACATTCCATTTACTAGTTGGAAGGGCCAAGTCCTAATTATTTTACTCATTCATGGGAAATCAGGATTAAGTAAACAGAATTAATTATTCCCGTTCTTAAAACCCTGAGGTGACTTGTTTGCACAGTTAAGTCATGAATGAAAGCTCTAAGAGTTCCTCATGGATGAGGAGATGGCAGCAAAATTTGTGCCCCATGTGGGGTAAATGACACAGTAAATTCTGTTCAATAAACTGTGGCTAACTTCTGTAAACAAGTACTGTTTTGTTTAATACATTATTGGAAGTAATGTGTGTATGGCCTCAAAGAATGTTCCTGTGCTTCACAGCCAATGATTCTAAGATTACAGCTCTTAGTAATAATTACAATCAGAGCAAAGCTTGCACGCCCACTATGGTTTTAGAATAGCTGGATAATTAAGACTTTGTTTTGGAAACAAAGCTACATCCTTCATTTTGTAACATATACTTTGAAGATACTGCCAAAATTAGAAGAAAACTTATATGAAGAAACTTGAAACCATTACAGAATAAAAATTCAGATATTTAATGGGGTTTTTGATTTTTTTAACGTAACTTTCCTCTTAGGCAACATTCATCTCTTTCTTTCAGCATAACTTTAGTTCCAAAGATCAGATGTACCCAGAAGGCAGCTTTACAGATGTAAGCGTCGTAGAAATAGAAGCTGATGATAAGAAGTCTTTTTCAGAACAAGATCTAAAACCATTTGACTTGCTTAAAAAGGAAAAAAGTACTTCAGAAGGGCACAGCAGTGGTATTGGAGGATCCTCGTGCATGTCTTCTCCTAGGCAAAGCGTCTCTGACAGCGATGAAGGTGAAACTACACAGAACACTTCAAGCACTGTACAGTATTCAACTGTAGTGCTTAATGGCTACAGAGACCAAACACCTGTACAAGTCTTTTCAAGGTCTGAGTCAACTCAGCCACTGCTAGATTCAGAAGAGAGATCAGAGGATCAAGCTGGAGGAGGTGACAGTACAACACACAGGCAACAGTATTTCAAACAAAATGGTGGTCAGGATGAAACCAACATAGACAGGCCATGCTTTGAAAGAACAAAGCAAATTATTCCTGCTAATGAGGGGGATCTTGTTGGGTTTGCACAACTGCAGATCCCAGGTCAGAGTTCACAGCCGTTGGTCCTTGGGCTAGAAAAAATTACCCAGGAAGCTGCTCTATCAGATGTTTTACAGACAAGTACTGAAGGACAAACTGTGAGATCTGAAACAGTGGAAGGAAATACAATGTCAGTTGATGAAATGCCAAAAAGTTACCTCCCGCAGACTGTGAGACAAGGGGGCTATATGCCTCAGTGAGAGAAGAGACTGGCTCTATTTAGGCCTTCATTAGTGCCTGTTCACGCTTTCTCTCGTGTTTCTGATAAATTAAGCTAGATATTTTTATCTGAATGCAGATAGAAATATTGAAATTAAGTGAAGACTAATTTGACAAAGTACAGTAAGGACTGTTTCTGTGGAAAATTTGCAGTCCAGACCTACTGGAGATTTACTTTTATGCACTACATAAAATCTTATGTCTGGATAGCTGAACAAACCTTTGTGCTGCATTGGGGTTTTTGTGTCTTGTCATAACCAAATTTACACATGATTGAAAATGGCAAATTTCAATTAATCACGTTGGCCAATAGACCTCCTTGAAGAAATACTTTGATTTGTGACAGTGTACAAGCCTAAAAAGGCAGCTTTAGTTGCTTGGAGCATCTTTGTGCAAAAGTGAGACTGAAGCTTAGCGTTGTAACATGGAAGAATACTTGTGTCATATACTTTTCAGTAGCTCGATGGACTTCCTGAATTTTGACTTGGCCCGGTATCTCAGTTCCTAGCTTACCAGACAAGCAAATCATGTTCATCCCCATTTAAAAATTATAAAAATTAAATAGAACTTACTATGGTGTGCTAATAAGAAAACACCATGATTGCTTGACTCTGAATGCTACTATAGTAACTGATACTCTGCCTACATTTAGATTCGTGTGCACATGAACTATATAATAATTTGGCCTAAAAATGTGCCATGCAATTTGATGCATAGCAGTTCAGTCTCATGTTCAAAAGTTTAAAAATTCAGATGAAAACACAGATTAACAGTTACTTAAAAGGTTTCGTACCCAATTCACTGTCTGATTATACCGTACCTCTCTGGTCATATAAATTGCCTTTGTTTAGTAAGTGCACCTTTGCTGTGTACAGCTTGAGAGGCAAGTAACAAGTGGTAAGTTTTTACCATTCTCCTAACCGCTCAGGAGAAGGGGAATATGACCTTCTTACTGATTGACTACAATTGGCGTGCTGTAACCTCACTGCTAATGCTGCAGGACCTCCTGAAAAGCAGCAAAACACAAAGCATTGAAGTAACTAAAACTCTTGGAAGAAAATCCAAAACAAGTACCCTGAATTTGAACATTACTGGTAGTACATATCTATTAGCAATCATGAGCTACAAATAACACTTCTGTGGCTGTTAAAATTGCTTTTTTCTTATATCTCACTTTCCCTTGTTCACAGTTTCCCTTTTATTGAAGAAGATAATTTCTTGGAGACTCTCTACCAGGGTTTAAAAAAAAATGAAGTTACACTAAAATAAACCCTCTCTCCAATGACAGCTAGAAATTTGATGGCACTCTTGTAGATTGATTTTTTTTTTTTGTTTGTTTGTTTTTCCAACTGTAACTTAGTCTAGTCAGCTTTCTAAACTGACACTAAAAACCTTCATTCAAAACACTAAATACTGTGCTGTGAGAATAAAACAAGGGGTTTATTTCTCCTTCAGCAAAAGAACTGTGTATTTAAGTCCACCTAAAATCTTTTGTGCTGTGACATATGGTGCTGCTGTCCTGCGGAGCACTTGCTAAAGGCCCTGTTAAGGCAGGTGTCAGTATCATTTCAACTTCTCTTGTCCTTGTCTGCCAGCTTGCATGGAAGGACAGGTATTCTTATAAATGTTCAAGTGTCTCCTGCTTTTGTTACAAAGAACTTCAGTGCTAGAGTAAATTCATAAGATTGCCTCTTGAAGTCTGGACTATTTAAGAGTTATAGAATGGAGACTCTAAACATTTCAGTGTTCCATACCTTTCTCCCGACAGTATTTTTTGTATCTGAGCTCTTTTAAACTAAAAGAATATCTTGCAGCTTACTATAACTATACTTTTCAAACCAGTACCCTTCCTTTTTCCCCACTCCACCTCAGCACTTTCAAACTCCTTCCTAGAGGGCAAGGGCATAATGAAAACTATGCTGTCACAAGACAGCAGACCATCTTTTGTTTTTTTTTTTCCAGAGGTTGAAGGAGCGTTCCTTCATCAGCACACATTCCTCTTGGGAAAGAATAGCAGTTACTTTACTGGGGGATGGGTTGTCTTCTCTATGCAAACTTCACAGTGACTGTAGATACCCCAAGTAAAAGGGAAGGTCTCTGAGCAGCGCAGGTGCCTGTTAGAACTGCCCTGCAGCCACGTTCATCTAATCCACCTCATGCTCATTGCTGAAATATTGTGAGCCACAACCTGGTTACTCTAGTCTGAACATTGCTGCAAAAGCCTGGTTGTTTTCAAAAACATGAAAATGTCTTTTCTTTTTGTTTGTTGTGATCCAGTGATACTTACTTTTGTTAGCATGTGTCATATTTGAGGGACAACTTCAGTTATTCCTGGAGTTGCTATTTGCCTTTCTGTTGTGTAAAGGGAAGGCATTTTGTTCTCAGTTGCTGTTAATCATGGGCCATTTTCACTGTTACACAGCATCAAGAGATTCTCATTTTTAAAGGTCTGTGCTAACAAGAGTTCTGGCTTGTCACTTCTGGCATCTTTCTTCTTCTATGGGCCAGCAGTAATACACTCCTGTACAATTCCGTGAGTTTATCCTAGAGAGAATTCTGTCTGTCTAGCAGAGTTATATTCTTTCAGGCTTGTGCACTTGCCTAGGACTAAAATACTCAAGACTAAGCAGGAGTTACTCGTAGGTGAACAGCTTGTAGAAGCTACAATACATATAAATAACAGGTTTACAGCTTGTTCATAAACCTATGTGCCAAATATTATAACATGCAATGTTCAAGGTTTAACCTGATTTTGTACTTCGGATCATAACAGTCTAATTGTATGAGACAGTTGCATACAGGTTTTTAGAGTGTCTGTAACGTAATTATAGTAGTCCACTGAAATTCTCTGAACTTGGCCCTAACATAGTAATTAAAGAAATAGCTTCCCTTCTCCCCCCCATAATTATGGTGCACTTTACAAAGTAAAGGCATTGTTAAAGTAAGATCATACTTCAGTATTGACGCCTTCATGTCCATTTTGATTTCCTGGACTGAAATTTTTCAGGTAGGCCTGGGAGAATAGTTGTAAGACCATGTTACTTTGGTGGCAGGAAAGGGAACCTGGTAGAAAAACAAAGTATTTTTCCTGTATTAGCATTTTGAAACATGTCTTAAGTGCAGGCTGGCTAACTGCTGCTATGTTTGCAAGAAAATTGAATTTATCTCTCTGATTCTGTTGGAATAGGAGGTTGTTGAGGTTGTTTCTGGGTTGTACTGGCTCACATTCAGGGCACTTAGTCTGGGAATATCTTCTCCCACTGCAGCAAAAGTTTTGGGATTGTTTCATATGCCCTACTGTAGGAGAACTAAACTGCCTATTAAGCCTTAACCTGACAGTGCACAGCAGAGCAAAACTTTTTCTAAATTTCATTCTGGAGTGTATGACAAGCATGTACCTATCTGTCCTACAGCAGCCTGGCAAAATGCTAACTATCAGGACTGGAAAAAACTTTGACCCTGGGAGGAGGAGGGAGTTTTCTTGAGGGGGCTGAGTCCCATTCTTGGGAGGCCTGGGGTGGGGTTTGCAGCTTCAGCTTTGACTGTAAATCATGAGCACCACCAGATGATTAAAACTTAAATCAGTGTGCCCAATAGGTGGGAATCTGTACACTGATTTAACTTCAGTAAATGAACTTGGCTAATTATTGCCAGGTCTTGAATATCCAAGACGCATGTCAATATATGCTGCTATGCTGTTGACTTCACACTGGGACCTGAAACTCCAAAGACTGTCAAATTGTTAATAGTCAGCTCTACTTTAGGACATACACATTTTAAATTGTAATTTATATGCATTAAATGGAACTAAATATACTAGCTTATTTTCCCTGAGACATTTGTTGTCGTTGAGATCAACTGTTAATTGGATACATTACTTTATGTTAAAAAGTTCTCCTGACTGGGGGATTGTAAAGCTTCACTAATCCCCTGTAACCTCTTGTTTCTCTGCTAGGATGGATACGTACAGCCATTTTGAATTCAAAGAGTTGCTTTTAATCTTACATAGATGCAGTTTATAACAAAAAGGTGGTCTTTTGTCATGAAACTGCCTTTTGGGAATTACAGCCAGCCCCACAGTCTTCAGCTTAGCTCTTGATCCAGAAATGCAGTAAAGTGGAGGTAATAAGTGTGAAAGTGTGGAGAAGGGTAAAACTTAAGTATCTTGCATTGAACTCAAATTCACATTTCTCTTCCTTAAAAGTGAAAGGATAAGTTACCAAAAAAAAAAAACCAAAAAAAAAAGCTAAAACACCTATGTTTGCTTCCACTGTTGTTTCCTTCATAGTACTTGTGCAGTCTGAGCCATTCCTAAAAATGAAAGCAGTGCTGACTTAATGCAGAAGGATGCATTTTTCAGGCCACAAGATTTGATACAGATTTAAAATCAATGACTAAGGGCCTGATATCAACAAGTCTCTACTTCCCCCACCCCTCTTAATTTTAGTGCAGAGAGAGGGTGGGCAGTAAGTACCTCCCAGAATGCAGCCTTAGCCAGTACTTGTGTTTATTTGCAAAGACAACCTTGAAGGGGATAAATGCAATAAAGTCATTGCTACTCTGCAGAAGCACACTTCTGTGACAATAGATGAAAAACACGTATGGCACAACTGTTGACAGGATGTCCTCCTGCTCACTGAAGCGCCTTCCGCACCCTGCAGCGGCTGTTCTCCGACAAGTGCGGGCGGGGTAGATGAGCATCCACTGCAGTGTTGAAACTGGTAACACCTATTGCTTTTCTTCATATCAAAGCACATTCGTTAATGGATCCAATCAACTTGCTGTGTTTTTTTAACACGCCAGTCTTGTTTACAGTGTCATGTATAGCATGGCACTTCGATACAGCGATGGATTGTCTAGTAAACAAGTGCTTTTATTTGAGCTTAAGGAGTTTTACTTGGGGTTAAGCAGTCTATGGTCAAGGTCACTGGTCACCAAATGTTGCTGTGCCGATACATGCACCGAGATAAGTGGAGGCATGGGACACAGGGACAGACATACTAAGAAGAAAAGTGCCTTGATGCTGGATTGCAATGTAAATAGTAAAATTTTACTTAATATGTACTTAAAGTAAATATGGCTGATTAAGCTACTGGTAATTTAAATGCCAGCTTTAAAGGGCTTGCATACTCTGGCCCAAGGTTAAACTTGTAAATTGCTGCATAAGCTGTCTCTATATGGAAATATGTTTTAATACCAGTACAATATCTTCATTCTTTTGCAAGCTGCATGTTTATTGTCATATAAACTCTGCTTTATACAATTTACTTTATGGTCAGTTTTGAATGTCTTCCTCTTTGTTACCTAACTGAGCCTGAATGTTGCATTTGTCTAGTACATAATATATGGAAAGAAAACAAAACAAAATTCCATACTTACCTTGTGTGCTGGAGTCAATGTTTTGCGAGGCTGACTGAAGTAGTAACCACAGAAGGAGAAGAGTCTGGGCACTACTGAGTAGGTGAGACAGGGAGCGTCACTCCCAGAGAGAGACATGACCAGCATATGCCAGGGTAAAAGCCTACCTAGCTGGGTCTGTGGCCGAGTTCAGCAGCAGGTGAGCGCTCGTTAGTGCTCAGTTTGTAATTGCTCCTGTCAGTAGGTGCTGCCTGCAACTGGCTGACCAGGGGGGTGAGACAGGTCCCTGTCCCAGGGACCTGGCTGCATTCCCACTGCTGGCCCTGGGCGCATATTTTGTGCACCCTGGGGTCCTGCCAGGGAAGGGCTAGCAGTGTCTGCCCACGGTCCGTGCTCTGAAGGTGTAGGACTGGCACTCCAGGCAGGCTGATTTAGGTCTGGTGGAAAGGGCAAGAAGAGCATCTAAAAATCCAGTTCTAAGGAAGACTGTGGGAGTGAGAAGCAGAGTATGATGCTGTCAACTCACACAGACTCATTTCCAAGAAAGGAGGCACACATCTGTCTATGTCTGACATTGCCCTTAGTCTCACCTGGGTTTGGCACTTTTGTTTCTAGGGAGTGGGGGGACCTTCTCAGGCTTATAGTGAACTTACATCCCAGTACTGAAAAAGCACAGTTGGACCTTCAACGGGTGGTCACATCTGCAGGAGGCTTCACAGGTAGCACCTGAGGAAAGACAGTTTCCCCTTCCTGGTTGAAGTTCTGATTTGTGTGGGCAGACTCAGACCCATGTAAAACTGAGGCGGGTGGGGATGGGGGTGTTACATTATGCCTCGGCTCCAGCACCAGAACTCAGAAGAGCTATCCCAGACATGTCATGCCAGTTAGCACTTCGTTGTTAAATTAGGTGCAAATACAACACTAGACTCCTTTTCCAAAATGTTAAGTCGCTGCACAGTGGTTCAATTACTGCTGTTTCACTTAAGGCCCCTGAAGTTTCTACAGGAGCATGATTTTTTTGCACATCCTCATAAGCTCATAGCTGCTGAGCTTCGCATCGTGCTTCACAACTGGGGTGAAGTGCAGCCAGGAGAGGAGAGGAGGCACCAGTGTTGTCTTCATAGGCTGCCTCACTGCTGGCAGAACAAGATGGCTTTCTGTAACTTAAAGTAAAAGGTATTAAGCCTGGACAGTGAATGGCGGGAGTGCCCTGCCACCCACAGGAAACCCATAGTTGCGCTGTGTACACACCAGAAGCCACCGGGTTCCTGGGATCAGCTCTCCATCCCCACGGCCAGGGCCAGCAGAGCCCGCAGGGAAGCTGGGGACGTGCCTAACCACAGGCGAGCACTGGGGCAGCACGGGGGGCACTGGGCAGCCAGGTGGCACAGCCCCCCAGAGCGACGGAGACGCGCTCAGGAGCCCTGCCAGCCCTGCGCATCTCGGGGCGGTGCGTTTGGATGGCTGCTGGGGGATCGTGGCTTTGTTTTGACCACTGACAGTCACAGAGACTTTGAAACCTCTGCAAAAGCATCTTCCATGTATTTTCCAGACATTTGTGCTGTTCGTGGTAGAGCTATCCAGTGCCTTGCTGTCTTCTCAGCAGTCTCCAACTACCATGAAATAACTAGCAGAGCCAAAATACACCTCCTACCCCCTATAAATACCTAGGAAATTCCTGGCTCAGCCAGGGAGGCTCTGCACAAATGACCCAACCGGGAGGTACAGATCAAAATTCAGAGTAATCTAACTCAAGGCTTGGCAGCAAAATGGAAACATACTGTGCACTGGTGTGCTAAGCATCACACTGGCTTTCTTTTGACGGTAACAGGTACCTGTCACACTGTGTGCTTGGGCACTGAGGGGCCTGTGACAGTTTTCAGAGGGGACAGCTCTGCAAGAGCCATCCACCGGTATCAACCAGCACTTAGCCAGTCCTCTGCAACTGCTGTACCCACTATACTGAGCGCCTGGTGTCATGCAGCAGGTTCTGGACACTGAAATCCCAAAGAAAGCTCTTCAGAAAACGCCCTTCAAAGCTGTGAGTGCCTGGGGCGCTCATTACCTCCAGGATGCACCCAAGCAGCAGACACGTGCTGGCAAAGCTAACTGGGACCAGTGACGGAGCACCCTGGCGCTGGGACCGTGGGCAGGACCCTGGGCATCATCTGGGGACCCAGAGCGCTACAGATCCTCAGCTCTCAGCAGCCCAGCATCGCCCCGCTCCCGGCCTTCCAGAGGCATTTCTGGCAGGTCCTGGGCCGCCCAGCCCAGCACCCAGCACCCAGCACCCAGGGCTCGCCCAGCCCTATGCCGGGAGATGGCAGCAGCATGTCGCCTGTAACAGCCGGACAGGCTGAATGCTCCAGCCCCAGCTCCTACCCGTGGCCAAATTACTCATGTATTGTTTTTTTAGTATTTCTTTTCTGACGGTTTAGCAAGTTCCCTTGTTTTCTCTTCTCCCTCTCCCTTTGTCTGCAAAAGCTCTGCCCCCCTGTTTCATTCTTCCATCGCCCGCAATCCTGAGTGAGACATTAAATCCAGACCTATGGGCAGGCTGAGGGCCTGCGTGCTGCCAGGCAGGTCAGCCTCCCCATGCCCTCTGCCCCGCGCTCCCCTCGGCCGGGCCCGCACAATGGCCCAGCCACATGAACCTGGCCCAGATTACTGGCTCCTTGTCCCTGCGGGCTAGCATGCTGGGATTTGCTAATCGGAAGTCTCTTCTCACGCATTGCTTCAGCCTGAATCACTGCGCTGCACCACCCAGATAAATTATCCCCACTGACCTTCACTTGTTACCAACATACATTCCCATGCAGTCTGGGAACAAACGCTGGACTCTTGAAGAACATTTCTGGATCAGAGCTATGGCAGCAAAACGCATCCTGCTTGAACGGATGCAGCCTTTTCCTGTTTTGCAGAGGTTCAGCACTGGAGAAAGAGCCTGTGTGGCTGTATGTGCACCCGTCACAGGGGCTGCCCCCACCGTACACACTGCCTCTCTCCACCACCACTGCAGGACAAATTTTCGTAGATAGGGGAACTGTAATAACCACTAAAACATATTCCATCTGCCATTTATTGTGGATTATGTGATGTTTACTCTGTGTTGAGTCAGAGACACCTAAAGAGGCTCCCTCCTCCCCTCCCCATCTTCCTCTCCCAGACATCTGTCTAGACAAGCACTTGCTGACAGCCTCAGGACAAAAGCAGATGCCTGCAGAGGCACAGCTCTTTCAGGAAGTTCCTATTATGCTCCATTTGCTGCATGCATTTTTACTCACCTGTTTGCTGGATATCTTCCTTAAGTGAAATCAGTAACACTCCTCTCTGCCCATGTCAGCCTTTTCATTTTACTTATTAATATCAATTAATGACATTTAAATAGATAATGCACAGATACACATCTGTAAATGAAAGCAAATTGAATCATTACCTAAGTATGAAAAACAAACTCATATCAGCCTTTAAAATTAGCCTGCATGCAATGCAAGAAAAAGGTCAGACTCTGTGTACGTGCAACATGTGGCGTAATTTAAATAAAAAAGTCAAAATAGAAACACCAAAAATAAACAAAGACTGCCAGAGCACAAACTCCTTTAAAGGCAGTGAAACTGAGACTTATCCACAGAAGCCGGGGTAGAGATACCTTAAACGACATGTGTTTCAGTCCAGAGATAAATTCAAGTTAGCCAGTCCTATCATTAAAGAAAAAAAAAAGAGTAAACCTCAGCAGTGGGAGCAGAACAACCACAAGCTGTAGACAATGGGTCCAAAAATTTATCTGAGAACATGGCAACAAAGACCACTTATCACAAAACAATCCCGGGCACGTGAGGGATTTTCCCTTCACACCTGCGCTCCTATCGCATACTAGATGCAGCACTGTGAGCTCACTTTCACTGAGAAATGACCTATCTTGCTCCTGCCTTAAACTCAGATCAGGAATCTGGGCCATGTCTACAGACTGCAGACCTACTTATAAATCCAGGGCTTAAGTAACTTCACAGCAGCTTGTTCAATAGTTTTGTACTTGAGACAGTCACACAAACTGATGGCACAAGGAAATTACACGTCCCCAGGGACATGGGGCTAGAGAAGTGGGAATGTGCACAGGGAGGGTGAAGAGGGATGGGGGTGGGGAAAAGATGGGGTCACCTCTATTCAAGATCAAGCATCTCCTCTCCCTCACACCCCAGAATATCGGGAGACATAGTGCACAATTTATAACCAGGATTATCCTTTGCTTTATAAAAACAGTACTTACAAAGAACCAGCACTGTGTGCTGGAAGAAAGGTGAAAATTAGCAAAACCTGTGTCCATTTTCACCCCAAATGATTAAACACTTCCCTGCTTCCTTCCTCTCACAGCTCGGTGTGAAACCTTGTTAGGCTCATAAACTGCAGATACCCTTCATCGGAAGTGTAAAAGCAATTAAGCTCTTCTGAAAATAAAAGCAAAAACAGAAGAGAGATGCAGTCCCTAAAGACAAGCAAAACTCAGGGCCTATTTGTGATCCAGGCTATAAAACTGTAAAAGAACTGCAGAAGTTGAAAGCAAATGCAGGGAGCATGTGTGAAGGAGCTGTAAGCTCATGGAAGAGAGAAGCAGAGAGCAAAGGCGGCAAGCCAGGAAGGCAGCTGGATATAAGCATTTCTGGGCAGTATGCTACTTACAAAAAAGCTTTACCTTAAAAGCAAAGACACTATTCCCTGCTGTTTAATATTTTCTATGTTCAGAGGATTTTTAAATGCATTTGGTAAATAAAAATGTCTGTAGCCTATAACTATTGACAATAGCAAAAATTCCTACTCACAAAAGGGGAAAAAAAAAATCAGGAAAAGAAAACAAAAACTAAAACCACTCCCAGCTCAAAACATCCCCCAGCTAACTGCTTGAGTCAAAGACAGTAACAGAAATATAACCTAAAGGCCATGCCCAGATCTGGCACACTGATTATGAAAAGATTTAGTTCAGAAGCATGTTTTGTTCATTTGGTAGAATTAAGGATAAGGAGAA